TCCTTTCACCATTCTTCTCCTGTAAAAGGCAATGCGGCCATTTCTGGTGGGAGCAGGAGACTTCACTCAGCATCTGGAACTGCCAGGCTGAGAATGCCTGGAACCCTGGACCTTGATGGAAGTTTAAAGTCTGAACCCTTGGGCAGACATGTCTGGTACATTCTTAACTCTGTTGTTCATAACAGGTCCCCAACCCCTGGGCCACAGACCGCTGCCAGTCCAAGGCCTGACAGACCAGGGCCACACAGCAAGAGGTGAGCGGCAGGCGAGTGAACGAAGCTTCTTCTGTATTTACAGCCGCTCCCATCACTCGCATCACCCCTGAGCTCTGCCTCCACCAGATCCATGGCGGCATTAGGGTCTCAAGGGAGTGCAAGCTCTACTGTGAACAGTGTATGCGAGGGGTCTAGGTTGCAACCCCTTATGAGAAGCTAATAATGCCTGATGGTCTGAGGTGGAGCTGAGGTAGTGAGGCTAGTGCTGCGGAGAGGCTGCAAATACAGACTAACATGAGCAGTGAGGTCTAGCCACACACCACCCTCCACCCCATTGCAGTCCGTGGAAAAACTGTCTTCCATGAAGTCGGTCCCTGAAGCCAAAAAGGTTGGCACCGATCTATAAGCAAAGACTCGAAATCAGGAGAATGAGGGTTTCCTTTTTTGAGGCCTCTACCAAATCAGGATCTATTTTCAGTATTTAATAGAATAGTAAAACATAATAAAAGCAAGGACATTTTTTGTGAGTAGGGGTCTCTGTCACCCAGATTGGAGCACAGTGCTACGATCACGGCTCACCACAGTCTCAACCTCCCGGGCTCCGGTGATTCTCTTGCTTCAGCCTCCTGAGTAACTGGGACTACAGGTGTGCATCACCACACCCAGCTAAAAGCAAGGATTTAGTAATCATCCGTTCTGGGCCAGGCACTTAGCATAAGCTGGCTCCATGAATCCTCACGACAGTCCTCTGTCAACCCTGCAGACAAGCTGGTGGCAGAACTGGGGTGAATGGGTGTCTTGCTCCAGATCTTTGCTCTGCCCTGCAACCTTGTAAACCAGGGTGCCCATGACCTGAAACTAGACCACGTGGGAGGGTTGGCAAATGTGTCTATGAGCCAGTGTCCTAGGCCTTGCTGCACTCAGAGCTGGCTTCGAGGGGACAAGAAGGGAGAAGAACTGTCCCAATGCCATGAGGTTGACTCATAACAGACACAGCCGGGGACTGAGTGCCTCAGAAAACACCATGGCGACAGAGGGAACAAAGGAGATGGGCAGAAGAGCACTCCAACCCTTAGAGGCTGACCTAAGGGCAGGCAGCCAGTGAGGCAGAAGAAGGAGCCTGTCCACAGGCAGGGCTGGAGTCAGCTGCAGCCAGGAAGAGCCAAAAAATGGAGTTGCACTGTTTGGGAAGCTGGGCAGGGAGAGACAGGGTGACCGAGAGAATGAGTCTGGCAGTGTCTGGTGTGGGGACCTGTGTGTCCTGTGCCACTGTGCTCACAAGGTGAGGCTTACTGTGGCACCTGGCAGCCCTGGGACACACCCAGGGGCTTTCCAGCTCCCCCCAGGCCTGACTGAAATGAGGCCACCTCCCCTGTCACTCAGCATGCGTGATGGGGGCCACAAACACTGCTCTCCATCGGGATGAATAAACTAGATGAAGTCCAAAGGCAGCCAGCCTGCGGTTAACCTTTCATCCCCATGAAATGCCTGGCCCACAGTGCTGACTTTTAACCTACTACTGTATGACTGCAGACCAACACAGGACAAGCTAGGAATGGCCAACTTTCCTTTGTAGATTACCTGAAATACTCAAGTATTAAAATGTGCTTCTGAAATGTTGGAAATGACCTGTCTGTGCCCTATGTACGGGAATAGCTTCCAAAAAAGGCTGTGGTAGCGGGGCATGGTGGCTCACTCCTGTCAATCCCCGCACTTTGGGAGGCTGAGGTGAGAGGATTGCCCGAGGCCAGGGGTTTGAGACCAGCCTGGGCAACTTGGCAAGACCTTGTCTCTACAATAAATCAAAACATTAGCCAGACGCGTGCCTGTGGTTCCAACTACTCAGAAGGCTGAGGTGGAAGGATCACCTGAACCCAGGAGGTCGAGGCTGCGGTGGCCAAATGCTACTGTGTAAAGTCTATCAGGACTCAGTCCTCACAGCACCTCTGTCCAAGCTTCCATCTCTCTCCTGGACCACATACTCTTCTCCTGACTGGTCTTCCTCCCCCCTACACTCCTGCTTCCCTCCCTGTGATCCATCTTCCGCAAACAGAGCTCCACAGTGACTTTAGGGCGCAAAATCACACCGGCCTCCTCCAGTGAAGGCCTGCTCCCCTTCGAGTACGAACTTTCATCTCGGCCCTGTGAGATCTGGCCCTCCTGGCCTCCAGCCTTCCTCCGTGCCACCGTTCCCGTCCTCTTGGGTTCCAGCACACCCAGCTTCTCCCTGCCTCCAGCTTACTTGCATCATTCTGCCGGGGACGGAGCTAGTGCCAGGGGCCACGAGGCACCCAGAACCTTTGGAAGGAAGGAAGCGAAGAGCCTGCGAGGCAGCGAATGTCCATTAGAGGGTGTCATGAGCACTTGAGAACTCAGCTGAATCAATGTCAGACAAGGCTATCGGTAGCAAGTGTTGGCAGAGGGAAGCGGTTGTCACATAATAAATCTTAGAAAGCAGCAGCCCACCTCCATCTACACTTCCTTCTAGCTGCATAGCTCTCCTGTGGCTGGCCGGGTCTGTACCTGCAGATCACAGGTCGGCATTAACCCCCAGTGCAGCAGCCCCTCAGCACCCCCCATGCAGGTGGGTTGGCGGGGGGGCGCAATACACATATGCGGCTGCTGACGCCTGTCAGTGGAAATCACCTTCTCCATCCAGGCCCACCTCCTTTCAAGGCCCTGCTCAGATCCGCTTCCCATCTGCAGCATCGGCGGACAGGCTCAACCTCAAATCCCAGGTCCAAGCTCTGCTTCCATCTGTTCAGCTGGCCAGACTGGGTCTTTTGCCCCTGCCACTCCAGGAAACCATCCTCTAAGACATCACTCATAGCCTCTCTTCTGCTAGATCTCACTTCCCCTCATGAACTGCTGATACTCTGACCATTCCAGAAGTCTCGGGTTTTTGCTACCGATCAGCCCCCCTCACAGATGCCTCATCCTTCACATACCTACAGAGCCCTGGAATGCTGAGGCCCCACCTGTCTCTCTCCAGACTCCATGAGCTCTAAACTCAATCTGGCTTCCCCCCTACACATGGCAAACCTCACATGGCAGAACAAAGCTCAGCATCCTTCCTGGACTCACTGAATTACTCATCGTGATAAGACAGCAAAACTGTCTACTGTTTACCTGAGCCACAAATCTCAGGTCCAGCCTGAGTGGCTTTATCAAATCCCCACTCTCTGTGTCCCTATTTGACCCCAATTTCTCTGCCTCAGTTCTTCCTTCCTAGACTCCTTCAGTAGCCTCCACCCATCTGTCTGCCTCCAGTCCTTTGTTGTCGTTGCCATAACATTCACCCATCTAAAACGTACAGTTCAGTGGGTTTCAGTACATTCACAACACTGGATAACCACCGTCATCATCTAATCTTGGACCACTATCATCCCCACAATGACACCCTGTGGCAGCCACTCCCCACCCCTACTTCCCACAGCCCTGGACAACCCCGATCCACCTTCTTCCCACAGACCTGCCTATCTCGGACACTTCATATAAATGGAGTCATCCGACTTGTGGGCTTTGTCAGTGTGCTTCCACTCACTCCTTCACAGCCACTGACTGATCTTTATGAAACACAACACAACACACGTCGCTCCCCAGCTCTCTGTCCCTGACAGGTTCTGGTGGACTTCAGGATTGAGTCCATCCTCCTTTGTAAACAAGAGGCCCATCCCAGCCTGCTCCCAGCTTGTCCCCCACAGTCCATCTTCATTCTCTCTTTACTCTGTCCAAATAGCCCGTTTCCCAGACCTGGTGCCCCGTGCCACCCTCTATACTTTGCCCACGAGGTTTCCTCGGCGTGGAGCGCCCTTCCAGTCCTCCGGATCCACACACATGCGCCTCATCTCTCAACACAGCTCAGACTCTGACGAATGATTCTGGTGCTTGGGTCTCCATGGTGCCTAGCTAGTAAACATCATTCTACTAAGCTCGAAAACTGCTTCATCTGTTTCCCATGAGACCACAGGCCACTGACTGATGGTCAGACCAGGCTTCATTTTACTCTGAGTACTGTGCCTGGCATGAAGAAGTCATTTAAATACCTGTTCTGCTGATAGTCAGTTTTTTGTTTTTGAGTCAGGGTCTCATTCTGTCACCCAGGCTAGAGTGCAGTGGCACGCTCACAGCTCGCTGCAGCCTCGACCTCCTGGGTCCAGGCAATCCTCCTGTCCTCAGGCTCTTGAGTAAATGGGACTACAGGCGCACAACACCATGCCTGGGTAATTTTTTTGACTTTTTATAGAGATGAAGTCTCGCTATGTTGCCTAGGCTAGTCTCAAACTCCTAGCTCAAGTAATTCTCCCAATTCAGCTTCCCAAAGTGCTAGGGTTACAGGTATGAACCACCACTCCTGGCTGACTATCAGTACTGACCTCAGAATTAGCATGTCTGTGCACACCACAGAACACCCAAGAGGCAATTTGCAAGAGGGAAGTTCAAAAGTCTCACACACCCAAATTTCACAAGGTATCACAAAAGACACAGGATGTTCACATGACTGCGAGAACTATGCCAAAAAAAATTCTTAGAAAAAGCAATGGGCAGAAAACACTCTAGTTTGGTGGCATTCCGTGACAAAACAAAGAAGATGGTTGTTTCACCGTCAGCTTCTCATGTTTAAAACCCAAACGCATAACTGATTTTGTCCTTAAAAAACTGCCTATAGAAGTTTTGTTCTTCAAATAGTCCCCACTTTATAGAAGAATGTCGGCACAGAGGGCACTAACAGAGCCAGCAGGTAGTGAGGATAATTTCCGCTAAGGAAAAAAGCATAAGAAGTACCTGCAGGTACACCTTCTTGGCACCGGGCACGTAATCTGCAATCCGGCCAAAGAGCAGCCGGCCGACCCCTGATGTGATGCCAATGCACATGAGAACCACCTCTTTGTTCTTTTCTTCTTGGAATCTTTCGTTCACATGTTTCATCTGTGGACCAAAGAGAAGGAGACCACGCTAAGAACAGCAGGAACACCGGATGAGGCTTGAGGCTTCGCACCCACCATCTGCTTCTCTCATTATGGACCCTCATCCCTTCCAAAGTCAAGTATTTATACAGTTTGTTCTGATTGTCTTTCATGAAAACATAAAGAAAGGGATTGGCAGGAGTGAGATACGGCCAGGGTGGGGGTGGGGGTGGGGCACAACATCAATAAGGGTACCTGATCTCAAATCAGGCAGGGGACCAAAGGGAGGCCCAAACTTTACCTGTATGATATCCACTTGTATACTTAATCCTGAATTGTTCCCCACATCTTTAAAATAAAATATTTTTTTAAAAAAAACATAAAGTCTAACATGATTTGGTTTGCATTAAAAGAAATAAGAATTTTTATAAGAATTTTTTTTTCAACAAAGGGTTACCAGAGCACACTATAAGCTATGGTGAACAATTCACTGAAGGAAGAGGACAGTCATCTGAACACATCACACAGACACGTTCTCTCAAGGTCACCTAAGGATGCGCCCTCTCTGCCCCACAAGGACAGTTCACGAGTCAGTTCTAGGGTTTCATCTCTTCTAGGAGGGACTGAGCCAAGCTGACACCCCTGAAGTAAGTTACCCCAAGTTTCCAGAATGAAAGTGTAAGGTTGTCTACCTGTGAGTGCCCGGGTGTGCAGCATTAGAACAGATAAAGGTACGGGGAAGTTTAACACAAAATTAGAAGATTGGCTGCTGGAGAGCCAGACTGCTTGGGTTCAAGTCCTGGATCCATCCTTACCAGCCTTGTGACTTTGGATAAGTTCTTAACCTCCAGGGTGTCAGTTTCCTTGTCTGTAAAATGGAAATTGGCAGTAGTACCAACTTCAAAGGGTGGATGTAAGGATTAAATAAAGTATTTGTGTAAAGAGCTCAGAAGGGTGCTTGGTGCGCAGTTATCAGGATCAGACATTAATTCCCACCTTTTTTAAATGGTCCTTCCCCTTCACTTATAGTCTATTTAGAATAGGGACTACAGGGACCTGCGGGCCACACACAGCCAGGGAGCAGAACTCATTTGGCCTTTCCATAATGCCCATCAACCCCTGCCCTACACTTAATGCAGGCCTGCGTTCGGGAAGTCTGCAAGTAAATTTCCCTCCAAACCCAAAGGCCCCTACGGCCCCCGTGTGGCAGAGAGCAGTTTTTCTGGATGAGGCCTCCTTAAGACACTTCCATTTTGCATCTTTTTTTCTTTTTGGTGTCAGAGTCTCACTCTGTCGTCCAGGCTGCAGTGCAGTGGCATGATCACAGCCACTGTAGCCTTAACCTGCTGGGCTCAGGTGATCCTTCCACCTCAGCCTTCCAAGTAGTTGGAACCAGAGGTGCATGCCACCATGGCCGGCTAATTTATTTGGTTTATTGTAGAGATGAGGTCCTGCCAAGTTGCCCAGACTTGTCTCGAACCCTAGGCTCAGGCAATCCTCTCACCTTGGCCTCCCAAAGTGCTGGAATTATAGGCATGAGACACTGCACCTGGCCCATTTTGTACTTTTTAAGCTCATTCGTACACCCCGACACCGTCTTCCCTTTCAAAACTAGTAATCATCATCCCTAACTTCTGTACTTTTCGTATTAGTCCAGAATAATCTTCCTAAGTATGGCTTTAATCTCATCAATTCCTTATTCAAAGGCTGCCCGCAGCCTACACTTACACCCCTCAGTTTGGTATTCAAAGTCTTCCATAATCTGTTGCTAATCTGTTCTTTGTACCTTTATCGCCTACTGATCCTGGACTCAGAAGAAGAAAATTCATTTGACCTCTGAGGCTGGCTTAAGGAGGAAAAAAAACCCAGAAAATTAAAAATGTCTAGAGGGCCCAGCCACATAGCACACAGGAGTCCAGCAGCTTCCCCGAGAGAAAGAGCATACAGTCAGGCGACCACCACACAGGCCTGCCTGAGATCAAGTCTATCTCCCAGCCCCCTTTTGTTTTCAAGCAAAGTCAGGAATCTGAGTTTTGTGTGAAATGGTGGTGCATGCACCGTGTGACCCACCCCTGCAGAAGCCAAACACGGGGCATCTGTGCGCCCGCCAGGCCCACTTTGATCTCGGGCCTAATCCCCCATGGCCCCGCAGGACAAGTCCGTCCAGGGCGGCACTCAACTCGTCAATGTGTTCTTCCACCACTGCGTGCCCACTGCCTTGCCCCCTTTCTTGACCTTCTAACTCTGTGTGGCTGCCAACGTCCTCATCTGGCGCCATGGGCTACACACACCTGCCCGCCTGTCCCCAGCACCGCCAAGACAGCAGGGCCCTGCTCAGTCTTGTCCCCTCACAGCTGCCTGCACACTGGGCATCACAACGCCTGGCCCAGCAGCCCTGGGCAGAGCCTCAACCACCACCCCAAATCACTGCTCTCCTCCTCCTGAAATCCACGAGTCACCCCACACTCTGACTACCGCCCCCAAGCCTAGACTTGCCTCCACGGGCCCATGCTCCCTGCAGTATTCCAGTTCAGGCATTCCCACTCCGCACGTGGACCCCGACAACAGCCTTCTGACAGGCTCTGGCTTGAGCCCCCACTTTTGAATCTCTCCCTTCTAACGCATCTTCCCTGAGGCCCCAGGTAAAGTTCACACACACACACACAAAAGTCACTTCTCTATTTAAGATCTTTTTATGAGACCAGTCATGGTGGCTCACGCCTCATCCCAGCACTTTGGAGGCCAAGGTGGGAGGACTACTTGAGCACAGGTCTAGTCTGGGCAACATGGCAAGACCCTCTCTCTACAATAAATCAAGAAGTTAGCTGGGTATGGTAGTACACACCTATAATCCTGGCTACTCAGCCGGCTGAGGTGGAAGCATTGTCTAAGCCCAGGAGTTTGAGGCTGCGGTAATGGTGCCACTGCACTCCAGCCTGGGCAACAGAGTGAGACTCCGACTCAAAAAAAAAAAGAAGAGACAGACTCCAGCTCAATTCTGGAGGAAAATGATCTGATCTAAAGCTGGTGCATCGTAACATGTGTATTCACTGGCTTTATTTAGCATTTGAGTCCAGACTCAAGTGTATTAATCCACTTCGGGAAGCTATTATGAGTCTTAAAGAAACAGTCATTAGTATTCATAAAAGACCAAGCTTACCAGTCCTTTGTTAATGACACTAAGCACACCTGTCTGACAATTGCTATTGTTCTTTCTTGGTTTATTTTTGTCCCCTGCTCTACTATGTAACTCTTACAAAGAATAATAAGGTGACGTGTCTGGGGTCTTTTGAAAGAGGGTAAATTGGGTGAATTCAAATTATGCCTGAGTAGAAACTTTGTTCTTCAACTAGAAGGGACATTCTCTCCCAGGCTTTTGTTATTGTTGTCGTTATTTAAATATAGCAAGAACTTCAGTTTCTAATGCCCTCACTGAGGCAGCAGGACCCACGAGGTCTGGGGTGTCCTACCTGCAGCTGGGCCTTCCACGACTGTGACTGGCTATGGACAAACCCTGCCCAATTCTCAGGCTCTGGAGGTCAGCGGGAAAGCATGAACATTCGGCAAAACGGGGATTACTAATATAAAGTTGCAAGGGGCCGGGCTTGGTGGCTCAGCCTGTAATCCCAGCACTTTGGGAGGCCAAGGTGAGTGGACTGCCTGAGCCCACAGGTTCGAGACCAGCCCAGGCAACTTGGTAAGACCTTGTCTCTACAATAAATCAAAAATTAGCCGGGCGTGGTAGCACACGCCTGCAATTTCAGCTACTTGTAAGGTTGAGGCGGAAGGATTGCCAGAGCCCAGCAGATTGACACTGGGGTGGCCATGAGCATGCCACTGCACTCCAGCCTGGGCAACAGAGTGAGACACCAACTCAAAAAAAAAAATTAAAAATTAAAATTAAAAAGTTGCACAAAAAGAGACATGAAGATGTTGAGTTGTTTTCTTACTTAACCTATTTTTTAAACCAATTCGAAGTTTATTTTGGAGGCCACCATCTACACAGGGGATTTGATGATTTTGCAGAGCAGTTGTTTAAAGTTAACTCTCAAGATAAATGAGACTCAGACAGGTGCGGTAGCTCACGCCTGTAACCCCAGCACTTTGGGGGGCTAAGGCAAGAGGACTGGCTGAGCCTGGGGGTTTGAGACTAGCCTGAGGAACATGGCAAGATCTCATCTCTACAATAAATCAAAAAATTAGCCGGGTGTGGTGATAGGCACCTGTAGTTCCAGCTACTTGGAAGGCTGAGGTGGAAGGATCACCTTAGCCCAGCAGCTCGATGCTGTGGTGGCCGTGACCGTGCTACTGCACTCCAACCTGAGTGACAGAGTGAGAGATAAATGGGGCTCGATCTGAATGTATACATGTCTCGGGGCGGGGATTATTCTTTTATGTATGCTCTCAAATATTTGTTTCATCCGGCTGCAAACTTCGAGGGGATTAGCAGAAACTTACTGGCATCCTGAACACCGCCTGTGCCTGAAATGCTTTTGTATCTAGCGATGACAGCGTTCACTGGCCACAAAAGTCATTTTTAGATTGTGCAAAACCCTATTTGTTGTTTTGTTATCCAAAGATAACCAAGAATCGTATCTCAGAATATCTGCTCATTCTACATCCACAGGTAACAGAAGGAAACAGACAAAACCATCCACAGCAGCCCCTGCCCCTAGCATCCCTGGCCCGCTCAGCCATGGTGTCCCTGCAAGAAAACCTGCTTCTGATCACTGACAGCAGCATGCTCTCCCTTCACTACAGCCCAGAGGCAGATACCATTATTTGAGAGGTCGGGGTAGCAGCTTCTGAAAGTAACTATCTCACTGGCATGGCCTCCGCCATGGCCTCTCCCCTCTACCACTCTCCAGTGCAAGATGTCTGGGGACATTAGACGGGGTCCTTCCACAGAGTCCCATGGCTCTCAGAGAACCAAGAGTGGAGGAAGTCACATGAGCAGTTTCCAGACAGAACCAGCTCCTATGAAGCTGGGAAATGCGCCTCAGAAACTCGAGTTTCCTTCAC